ATTTTCATGACTTTTATAGCTGTAACAGGCCCCCTCTGCCCATCTGTTCTTGTAATAACCACTGTGACTACTGTAATAATTCATACTTCTGCCTCATGAATAGGCTGAAGAAAGAGCACCTAAATGATGACCACATTAGCCCATGCATTCTGGCTCTAACCTGGAGTAATACAGCCTGGAGGAAGAGAGCAGCTAAGAAGAATAAAGGAAATCACTGACTGAGAAAGGTATGAAAAAGGAGGTGCTTCTCTGTACTTGGTGAATGTTTTGCATGGTATTAATTCTGATTTCGTGCAAATCATGCACTGCATGCAGAAAGCAATCTAATGGTGTCCTTTGTCAGCCTATTTTTCTACCATTTACTCTTATGCATATTCTTATACATTGGCAGGTTTTTGCAGAGGAGGCAGGAAATGCAGACAGCATGGATTTTTGGGACTGATACAGAGATCTCTGCAGTAAGTTCACCGAATTCCTTTTGTTACTATGAAATTAGGCTTCAGTCTGAACTTGAATGCAAAGATACCTGAAATCCCTTCCAGCCTTATATTTCCATGAATAAGCTCAAAAAAGTTCCCCAGTTTTCATAGTAACGGTAAAAGCACATAATCCTTTCTGATAGAAATACAATGATCCTATCTAGAAATGGTGGCCAATTCTAGCATTTTGTGTTGGAGAAAGGATATTTGGAAAAGGAATTCTGACACAGGTATTTCTCCCCACTGTTCTCATCAGGAAAAAAAAAAAAAGAGACTGAAATTTCTCTCTTAGAATTAAGTAAAAACATTTCAGTAAAGAAACTAAAAGGAAAGGCAATTGCTAGAACAGATACACTCACAGCTAGCCCAGTGATTCTTAGTTTTCCCTCATATTCTCATGATTTTTAAAAAGCTAAATAAAAATTGTGATGCTATCTGACATGCCAACTGAAAATTAACATTATTCAGAGATGTTCTCAGCTCATTTGAAGGGTAAGAATAGGTTGACTGAAACAATGTGTTGGTTTGAAGGTAACTGAACAGGGATCTTAGTCTTTTCAAAAATGGTATTCATCAAATAGAAGAGACACGTCTGCATTCTACTAGAAGATACCAACAAAGCAGCAGCACTGACCTTGTACTATATAGGGCGTGTTCTCCTCTCTGACCAGGGAACACGTGGGACGAGGGGCGGGGGCTGGTGGCCTGTTCATGATGAAGGACCTGCAACGTTTCCTTTTCTCCTTCTCCTCCTCCTCCCCCAGTATGAAATCATACACAGATTCCTCCAGTTGCACAGCAGTGTACAGGTCTTCCTCCTCGCTGTCTTCCTCGCATGGGTCTTGGTCTTCTCTGTAGCATGCTGTGTTGAGTTCATCCCCATGTTCTCTCTTATTCCTGTCCATCACAAAATTCCCCTCTGAAAAAGGAAGAAATTGTGTTGCATATAAAGGGTAAAGAGAGGAGATTAGGACTTATCTTAAAGCTTTAAGCTTCCTAAAGTAACTCAGAGACCTAATTTCACTTCTAAACTGAAGTGCTCTGATTTTCAGAGGCTTCTGATCACCTAACTCAGTAGAGAGGATGTCCCAAAGGAATAATTACAATTTCAGGGACTCCTCATGATTTCACATCAGATTATCAAACATAGATGCTTAGCTATTAGCCACAAAATAAACGGACCTATTTAAAGAAATACAGAGAGCAACAGTTGTTCTCACAAGAGTTACACAAACATGATGTTTTGTAGTGAAGCCAAACAAATGTTACCTGCGGCCTTCGGTATTTTGGAAAACATTTTGTTTCTTACCTGTTGGAACAATGACTTAAGTGAAACTTATTTTAGAAAATGATGGATTTTGTCTTTCCTACATCTTCAATATCCCACTTGGTTTTGAGGGCTTTACTAAGATGTGCTGTAGGCCAAGGTCAAAAAAGAAAAAAAATCCCCTTACAGCGTAGGTAAAATTTATGACCTCTTACAATCTGTGCTAAGATGATCCAAACACCCCCATTCCAATACCTACAATGCCTCTCTGTACTCCTCGTATTTCATACATTTCACAGTACAACTACTCAGAACTTGCTTTCCTTTAGCTTGTGCATTTTGCAGCATTAAAAGGCTATCGATGAGTTTCCCAATACCTGGGTTTGCCTTGATTTGTCTTTAAAACCCCCACAAACTTCTAAGAGTTTAGAGATATTACTGAGGCTGATGTTCCCGTTAATGTTTATAACTTCCTTGTGATGATTACCCATCTTTCCTGCAAAAAGAGTAGACCTGCCTGGAATTCTTTACTGAGTAATTTTTCCCTTGTGTTGTAATTTACAGCCTGTACATATATGTATCTGCTAAACTAGGCTGTGATCACTACTGGCGTTTTCAATCCTTTGGCTGTTGTTTAAAGAATGATCTATGTATGGGTCCAGAGGAGCTAAACAACCTTTTAAAGTGGAAGACATCTGTAAATGGGATGCATCATTTATAAATGAGATTTATATTTATAAATGAGTATTAATAATATGTAATATCAACATGTATTCTAAGATACAAAAATGTTTTAAAACAAGTGGGATTAATACGCCTGCCATATTTAATATGAATAATACTTTGTTGCCATGTCACTGTACAAGTTCTGCTTCTTTCTCTGTAGGACATTTTTTTTTTTTTTTTAAACTCCCACAGGGGGCACTCTCAGGCCACTGCCAAAACACAGACTTGAACAAAAGGGGACTTGCCTTTGAGGTACTTCACAGCAACTCCAAAAACAAGTGGCTGAGCAATGACTCATTAGAACTCCTCTTTGAAAGCAAGCATCATCCTCATTTAGAGGAATTCTAATAACCCTAGCATGTTTTATGGCTAAACACAGGAAAATTCAGAGCACGTTTTAAATGAACTCTTCACACGGGAATATTTTCAGATGAACTCTGCTTTACCAGCACAGGATTCAGCACAGGACACTACATAGCCAGGGAATTTACTTTGCTGGTACCCACATACAGACAGCTGGCGTTTGGCAGAGACGGTCATGTTACTACTTGATGGTATAGTCATGTTAGACCTATTCCAAGAGAGGTATTTGTATCAAACCTACACCAACAAATCCTGCTTGCCAAAACTGACTCCTCATTTATACACACATATAGCTCCAGCTGAGTATTTTGTGGGAAGCAAAACATGTTTTCAGCATTAATTTTATTCTGCCCCTCTTTCTCTGAGAATTCACTTATGGATTCCTGCATGTAGCCAGCTTTTTCTTGGACAGCAGAACACAGGAAAAACCCTACCTATAGCAGGCTATAAGACTAGAGAGCTATTTCTGTCAAATTATGTGAACTTCAGAGTGCTTGGTGATGGTAATTTAAGACTCTAATTGGTTACACCACATTTGAAAACGAAGTTAACAGTAATAAACAGTGGAGGAACTGAGAAGCAGTTTGTGTGCACACTTACCAGTAGTGTCCACAATAAATAAGAAGGGGGTTTTTTTTCACCTATGCAACTTTTTAAGACTGGTATTTCAGCCTGAATTATTTTGCATACTTATTTTCTCAGTGAGAAAAATTCAGGATCATTCCTTCTGAAACAGATGCAAATAGTGTTTTGGGCTTCTCATCACTTTAATCAAACCCAACACAAAATTTTAGATTTTTACTCCGGGGAATAAGTATTAAAAAAAAAGATAAAAAAGGCAAAGCATTTAATTAACAGTCAGAATTTCTCCCTTTCTTTTCCATCTGCAACACAATATAGCTTTTTACTTCTAACTAACTACAACATTGGCTAAAATGTAAGAAAATACTACATTACTTCTCTCTGCACGGTCATTTTCTATTAATTCTACCTGTGAAATTCCAAGCTACATTAAATCAGGATAGTATTTAAGGCTTTAAAATGGTAAATACTTAAGCCAACTTGACAAAAATACAAGCTCAATCTTCTGTTTCAAGCCTCTCTTGTAAATCCAGTGCACTGTGCATTATTTGGCAGCTCTCTGAGACAGGCAGAGTTAGGAAAACCTGAACCCAGCACCCACACCTGTAGGAAGTGGGACCGGCCAAAGCCTGCAGAGAATAGAGCTTCTAGCAACAACAGCTGCCCGGAATTGCCTGAGACCCAGCTACAAGGGGTCAGACCAGCTCCAGCCTTACAGACCTCTGCAGGATTCCCCTCTCCTGGGCCCCCCAGAGACCACACCTTCCCTTCCTCCCCTGGCGATCCCTTCCCCCTGAATGAAT